ACGGATGAAGTAAAACTATGCAGAATTTTAATTAGTACTGTAGGGTGCAGTTTGTAAAGTCAACCGCTGCTCTGGAGTCATAATTAATGAAGTTAGGAAAACATTCAATACAAAAAAGGGGAAGACAGATCATAAACTTGGAACGAATTGCAAAAAAATAGGTTAACAACATTTCGAAGTGAAGATTCACAATACAACAGAAGTTTTTGAAGTCTCTTGGCATAGTTTGTCTCATAATTAAGAACTCTGTAATTACAATAATTAAGGTTATAATGATATTGTTAAGGTACAGACCGGTAACAATTGAAGCATTAAAACAATGCGAAGATACATATTATTTATAAGGGAAGGGGCACACAAGCAGTGGGAACACTGAGGTGAACATCGACTATGGATCGTCTATGGATTTCCTCAGTACCTGATGAGTTACATATGCGTTACAACATTTGAGAAGATGATATGCATGCTTCATAAAGGACCTAAACTCGAAGCTGTTTGGAAACCGCTTAGAATCATGCCACAGCGATTCTCTACGAGACAGAAAGTGTTGCGAAAACCACACGGTTTAAAATCTCGAAGGCAATCCTCAACTGTGAGAGAGATGGAAGGCAGTGAATTTGGATAGAATTAAAATTATCATAATGTTGCAAAATTAAAATGTCGCATTCCACAAAAACCTTTATGCGTTCCACAACAGTGCAAATTAATTATGCAGTGAATGCTTCCAGCCGCAAAAAAGTGCTTGAAAAAAAAAACGATCTCCATACAATAGTATTGCTGTCGCAAGTGGCTCGGGAATCAAAAGGGGCCAATGACAATAGACGACTGATGAATCTTTCCTCTTTTGCTATTTTGTCCGCCATATTTCGGCGTTCGAATGTTGAACAATGCAAGTTTTCATTGTTAAATACAATTTATTATTACTCACTTGGCTTTTTCGTTATTGAATGCTTTTCGCGGATATTCGAGCGCTTGATTGCGAAAAAACATCAATGACAATGAGCATTTTAATTACTATCTACGCGAATAAAATACGATATTGCCTTTTTACGTCGATCTAGTTAAGTCCATCGAAGTTTTGATAGACTTTAACACTTGTTATTAGTTGAAATATATTACTTTCGCAACAAAAAATATCAGGCTCAATAAGGATTAACTTGCTTAATATTATGTCTCGTTTAACTGTAATTTCATGGTCGAATTATCTTTAGAAAAACAGCCGCTTCCCCCATTCTCTTTTAAAAGATGGTGTTACCATGTTGTTGGACAGTTTCAGCAGTGGAAACTCACTTGCATTCCAGTTGTAACTACTCGTAAATTAAAACATACTGTAATCTGCTTGCACATTTCTTTCCTCGTTCCATTTCGCAAATTATTCTGTACGAGCACAACTTTCAACAACAGAACGTATTGTGGCGGAGGCGGGAACGGAAAAACTTGGACGCGTTTTATTGTGTTACAAAACAGAATTATGCAGAATTTAATTAGTTGTGTAGGGTAGTTTGTAAAGTCAGCCGACTTCAGGGAGTCGTTATAAATGAAGCTAATGAAAAAATCTCATTGTTTAAAATTGCCCACAAAGTGTAAATAAAAATTTTATAAAACAAACATATAGCGTCTTAAATTATTTTTCTAATTGTAATATTAACTTAATATCCCACTCAGAGTGTTTTAATAATCGCTATGGAAGCGCCTTAGTGAGGATTTGGTAATTGTTTTAATAAAACACATTACAAAGTATAACAACAAACATCTAATAGTTCAAATAAAAACAACCAAAGCCAATATCTCTCGAAAGTATGTCAATAATGCTGTACCCGTTTCTACTGGAGAGATAGTGGGACATGAGTGCAAGTAGGAACCGATCACAAAACAGAAAGATGCAATTAAACAGACTTTTCTGTCCCCAACCCACTAAAGGACATAACTTTTCTAAGTCTATTAAAAAATGTTATTTAAACCTTTGATATAGAGAGTTACCTCGTTACATAAATACAAGTAAATCTAAATAAAGTAACAAAAAAAAAACTCACCTTGATCTCTAAATTTCTTAGAATAAAGTTAGTAAGTGAAGTTAACAAAAAAACCCGACAAAAAAATTGTATTGTGTCTCGTTACCTCAATAATGTTTTATAAAGACATTATTTAACAAAATGTTTTATTAGGGTTAAATTTAAGTAATTTTACATAAGATTTTATTGTAACTTGTTGGCCTTTGAGGCTTCTTGGAAGACCCTAAGTCCTATTGGTTTGGAAATTGGGTTCAGGCCAATGTGGATGACTATGGCCTAGTCACCCCTTACTTAGGGAAGGTTCTGAGCCCCTCAATGCGGACGTTAAGTGAGCTGATGTGATGAATAATTAGTATCAAATTGTATACGTGTAAATATATGTACTGATAAAAATAAACCATATGCATAGTTAGTACGAGACGTGTCTGGGACATATCTTTTGACCTTTGCTATTTGATACGATGAATACAATATGTAGAAATATATACAACGCTTATCAAAAAAAAAATTACATTATTCATTACGTTTTGAACTAGGAAAACGGGCTTTTTTGATTTTAGACCTACGTCACGGTTTATAGATTCAAAAACTCTTATTTAAAAGTTATCGTAATTAATGCAATGATTAAATTTGACTGTATTGTAATTTTTAAATACTTCAACAGTAGTCTTAGTAGTAACCTTAACGATGAACGGTGTATAAACATCGGACTGTTGTAGCGAAGGAAATTTTATACGATTGCGAACACAAGGCGACTCAGTACTTTATCCGACGTGGAGCGTTCAATAAGATCACAGGAAAGTTCCTAAGCAAGGGGATAAGAAACAACGTGACTACAAGAATCAAAAATGACATGTACATAGAATATTGAACATTACGTTGAAGCCAAATGAACGAAATGTGCACTTATACCTCCATCTTTCCTGTGCCTGCCAACCTTCGTAACATATACATTTTGCTGTGCCTTATATTACATTTGTAATAAGTTAATAACAGTCAACGTTTTCACAAAGATTTCTTAAGAAACATTGTTAACATTTCAATAAAATTTACATGCGACAAAATCAAAAGATATTAAACTACATGTTATAGAAACTTCTAATGTAAAACTCTGATAAAATAGACACACGTTCTAGTCAACTTGATTGCAGTGTCCACTTTGAACCAGTTCGCTATAAACTCCGCCATAAACTTTAACCTCTCGGATGATAGTCAGTCCGCTAGAGAGTGATTTGTTGTGATATTGCATAATTAATATTGAAATCTGTTCCCCGCAGTAATTCACAGGTCATGAAAACAATTATAATAATTAGTTAAAGAACTTTCTTCTCCTCGACTACGAAAAAAGTAACAAATATTATACCGTGCATAGAACTATATCTCTTAAGGCCGGTTGCCAAGCTACATTTAACCATTGCTTAGTGTTTTTAGTTCGGTAACATCACAAAATTCGTTTCAGAATTACCTAACTTGAGTTTTACTCCGTCGAAACTAAGCTCAACCTAACACTAACGATTCTCTAGGTGTAATAAAAAAATAAATGGAAATTTCAGAAACCCAGCATTAGTTAAATGTCTGGAGCGCTTGCTTGTATTAATTCTGTGCAGCTGAATTGCATTTTTTTAAATGTTTATTTTTACACAATTACCTAAATATGGCTGCTTGGATAATGGAATTTTTAATTTAACGTAATGCAAAACTTCCATTATGCTTGCGATAGTGCATTTATTACTTTTACAATAGACTGCACTTATAACAACAGACCTTCTTTGAGCTCCCGAGAGGTCGCAAACTTGACGGGGGGTATTCCTTTCACACACAGATAATAGAATGTTTATTTATATAATTAAGAATTAAACATTTAAAATATCATATTTGTATGATGTAAGAGCGTCAATGGTTCAAGGGGTTTAATGAAAGAATGAATATAACGAGTGAATGAAATATCGTCCATATGTGGAAAGAAAACGTGCACTGGGCCAGCATGGTTCACTAAGACCTACTCACTCCTAACTTAGGGGTCGGCTAGTCCTTCAGTGAAGACCTAGCTTAGACAGTATCACTAAACATCAAGTAATTGACTAATAGTTTTTATAATAAAGTGAATATTTGCAGAATCAAACCGAGAACTTCTTTTTGAAATTACACTAGACTTCATCTGGAATTATGCCTAATTACTGACTTATTAAGGCTCTTTAACGTTTCTATTGGTGGTAACGAAAAATACATGCAAATCGCGGAGTTGCAACTAAAATGTCGCCGAATAAAAGATTAGAGGAATACAGAAAATCTAGGTAAAATAACAATCTAAAAATACAGTGTACTACTATTCAAGGTTTGTGATCTATTTCAGTTCCGAGGACAAATTTGTTTACGCTTAGCAAAAACTGAACGTTTTATACGAATCCAATTATTGCACTTTTTTGCTGTTAACCAGTCGCTGTTATATGCATTCTAGACGTTTTGTTTTGTGAACGTAAAATTTAAACTTTTGCTCAAATATATCAGTAAATTATAGAAATACAGTTTCAAGCTTATCTTCTAGATCATCGGTGCTCATGGACATCCGCAATATCAGAGGAACTACAGACGCGTTGACGGCCTTGATGAATGCCGATCGCTTCTTGAAGGAAACTAAGTTGTACTAATTTGGAAACACCGCCTAGGACAGAGCGAAGATGGTAGAAGCAAACTACGATACCACAGGTAAGATTAATTAGTTGGTACTATAACGTATGACTTCTCGAAATACCTATATCTATGAACAGACATGAATGAATTGTAAGATTGAATATTTTTTTTATTTTACTGACATGAATACTAAAAATAGATTAAATAAAAACTGTTCAATGAACAGAACAGTAGTTCGAAGTGACAGGAAAATTTGCGGTGTCATTAGAATGTTAACAGAAATGCTACTGAATTGAACTCTATACTTTATTGTTATCAGTTTTCTTACGAATTGTATATAAACGGTTGACGGGATAATTGTGTTCAGTTGACGATCGTCAGTGCATTTAGTGATATATTGTATTAACATTGCAGTTTAAAATATTAATTTGTAAAAAATGTTCGAACGTATAAAACCTGGTTTTGTTGAATTAAGTGAACTGGCTAGTGCTGGTGTAAGTACTTTTAGATAATAGATTAAACGATATTTTTAAAATTATTAGAAATACGTTTAATAGTCTTATGGTTTATTTAGTTAAAAATTAAAATAACATCCATTAAAGTTCGTAAGAAGTTAAGGAGATAAATTAAAAAAAAAGTTCATTTGTTAATTTATATACATTAAATTGTAAATTACAAACAAACAAAATAGTCAATATTTCTGTACTAAGGCATTAAGAAAGGAATCTCATGTTACAGGCGGGTGGGAAAGTCGCCTTTTCAACGGATGACTTTTTCGCAACTTGCGAGAACATGATATCAGACAGTGAGCCCGTTTTCATAGAGGACAAATATACGGAGTTCGGCAAATGGATGGATGGCTGGGAGACGAGGAGGAAGCGCGTGGCTGGCCATGACTGGTGCATTCTCAAACTTGCTACCAAGTGTGTTATCCAAGGTATTGATTATTTCTCACTATTGTTGTATTTTTTACATTAATTCTTCTCCTTCATTAATATATTTGCTCTCAGTTAAGCAAACATTTAAAGATATCATATTATTGTTGTGACATATCTAACAACTTTTGTTTTATATGTCTTTACACTTTAGAATTTCGATTCAATTATTCTCGATCATTTTTTAAAGTATCTTATTTTTCAGGTTTTCTTGTAGATACAGCATTCTTTACCGGCAATTACGCCCCCAAGTATTCGATCCAGGCAGCCTGCTTAACACCAGAAGGTTAGTATTACGAAAAATCTGATCACATTAACATCTAAAAATGATTATTTATGGTAGCCACAGTATTGGATAGTAGTATTTATTTGATATTGATGTTATTTCAGAGGAATCTCTAATACCACGAAGAATAGAAGCAATAGGAACAGCAACAAGCGAAGATGATTTGGAACAAATTAAAAAACTAGAATCAGACAAATGGGAAGAAATAGTACCGATTACCGCATTGCAGCCAGGATATCAAGAAACGAGACATAATTACCAAAAGGTACCTACATGAATAATTCGGAACGGAAACACGCACCATTTAATATTATTGTCTTTTGAACATTATACAGATAAATTAAACGTCCTTTCCTTCTAAAACAATTACCATTGGAAATAGTCTAAAATATTAACTTTTAGATTCATAAAATTTTCACAATAGAATTTCACAAGGATTATTTAATTTAGTAACCATACTTCATATTTAATTATTTAAACTAGTAACTATTTATTTGTAACACTCTTACTGTTTTAACGGGTTTCAGAGTACAGAAGACTTAAACTCCTAAGATTCCCAAAGGAGCTTTACTTCACTATAGTGTATAGACACTAGATGCACTAAATACATATAATTCCAGGTGCTAAGTGACGAAGCCTGGACCCACATACGAGTGAACATGTTCCCCGACGGAGGGATAGCGCGGCTGCGGGTGTTCGGGGAGCCGCGCCCGGAACCGCCTGCACTTACTGATGTAGTAGATTTGGTGTCTGTTGTTAACGGAGGATGTTGCGTTGGTTAGTCACATTCAAATCTTCCTGTAATTTCAATCTTATTCCACTTGTATTAAAGTACAATATTTCCAGGTTTCTCTAACGCTCATTTCGGTCACCCTAAGAATATAATAAAACCGGGCAAGGGTCGCTCGATGTCCGATGGCTGGGAGACGGCGCGAAGACTTGATAGACCTAACATTATTGAAGCTAATGCAGATGGAACTCTTAAATTGCAAGGTAAAATTTTGTTTTTTTTTTTGCTTAAGGAGATTTTGGAAAGGCTTATTTTTAATAATAAATTATTACATTAATAAATATTTTGTCATTATTTTTAGATACATTTTCTTTTATCTGATAGAGTTTTAGTAAAAATCTTCATCGATGAATATACAAACAGCAGTTTTTAAAGTAAATTAAAGTTAGATTTTTGTTTTCAATTTCAATTATTATAATATAAGCTAGGATACTTTTAAGATATAATTTTTTTATAATAAGTAATAAAGTTTATGGAATAAGTTTAAAAAGAAAATCATTTATTAATACACTTTTTCACTTTTCCAGGAGATGAATGGGCCGTATTTAAATTAGGATTTCCCGGTACAATAAAGAAGATTTGCGTGGACACAACACATTTCAAAGGAAATTTTCCTGATTCAGTGAAATTCGAAGGCGTTTATTTAGATAATTGTAATTGGATTGAATCAAAGGAGACGTCGTGGCAAACAATATTAAATTCAAGCAAGGTGAGAGAACCCATACAATTCAAGAACTACATCATAATCAATAAAGAATAATTTACAACCAACTAATTTAATTCCAAATTGTTAGTTAATTTTTTAAATGAGACTCCATCGATTCCTACATCTATGTTTGAAATTTTTTAAAGTATTATTTCTTTCCAGCTGTCAGCAAACAAGGAACATTGGTACAAAGTGGAGTCAGATTTGATCACACATTTAAAAGTAACGATAGCACCCGATGGTGGCTTGAGTAGGATAAAAGTTTTCGGTTTAATAGAAAATTCAGAATAATCATGTACAAATAGTTTAAATATTACCGCAGTCAGGTTCAATTACTAAAGCAGTTACAAGTAATATTAAATTCAAACGACCACATATTGAAACGAACTTTTCTAAAAGCGTCGTATCTATCAATTTTTAAAATGTTGACTAAGACTGTATTGTTTGAGATTCTTTTCACAATTCTGCCGTTAGTCCATTAACTAATAATTAGACAACTCTGAGTGCGGTGTATCCTAGAGTAAAGTTAAATAATTGTAAATATTGTAACAAAACATGTATCTTTTATTTTGTATTCAGTAAAAAGACGTTTTGTTACATTGCTTTGTTTAATTTGAAATTAAATACTCTTGTATTATTTTACTTTATTAACAGTGTTTTATATGTTATTTGTAATAGATTTTAATTTTAAAAAAGTATTATTATGAATAAATTAATATTCGTTAAACATTACAACTGTTTATTATTACAAATGCCTTCCCTGTTTTGACAAATTTATTGTGAATTCGTAATGAATGAAAAACACTTCTTCTTCTTCATTTTTTAATGATTAGTGGACCCCATCGTTATTTTGATGATTTCGCCAACGTCAAGGTTCAAGATAATTGAAAGTATATAAAGCTAGACTAAAATTTTGAGTAGCAGTTAACTAGATAGACGGAATTCAGTGTGATTGACAAATGACCGGTAGCTGATGATACCAATCGAGGCACTGTAATAGGACAACACCAATGTTACTATACTACACACTAAATACAACATTTATTTATATTACTATTTTAATTACAGTTTAATATTAATGGTAGTTAAAAATTTAAATAAAACCTTCACCAGGGGGCTGTAAACTAAGGTTAGCAAGAATGGAATATTAATGGGTCTGGGAATTTAGGTAGGAAGAATATCATATAAGTGAACTTTTAGTTTCGGACAATTAAAAAATATGTGTTCTAAGGATCCCTCATCCAAACCGCACTCATTAAAAACACTTAAATATTGCTATGTTATGTTAACTCATAATTTATGACAGACCACACTCGTTAATCTTACTTCTTACTAATATCATGAATTTGAAAGTTTAGATGGATGGATGTTTGTTAGAGTTTGTAGCCTAAACGGCTGAACGGATCTCGATTAAATTTGGCATAGATGTAGAGGATAGTCTGTAAGAACACATAGGCTATTCACTTTCTTTCTTTTTAAATCCACGCGAACGGAGTCGCGAGCGAAAGCTGGTAAAAAATAAAAAAAACCCTGGAAATTGAGACAAATTTTAAACAAGAGTTGTTCTTAGATGAATGTTAGAAATCTCTATACAGGAGTAAATTATTTTTACTTGTAAATGTGCTTTAGTTATAAAGTAAACTGTTTAGATTTAGATTTTCTCTTCCCTATGCTTATTTTATCGGAACAAGTAACACATTTTAACAAAATTGTATACTTACGTTAGCACACTTTGATCAAGTACACACGCAATTAAAACAAACATGAAGTATCCTTGAATTATCATTTTCTTAAACACAATTAATTTATATTAAAATGTTTAATCAAATTATACATACTGATGACCTAATTAAGTGTTTCGACCATCCGCATTTCCAAATCATCGCTGTTTATATACATAGTTATCAGGCATAACATTCTGTTTCATTAACCGGTTCGTACCGGTTCTCAACTGGATCAGAATAGTATATCAGTAAACGGAGTTCAGAGATTATCACGCGGGGAATGACACCATCCTTAACACGCGCATATAACATTAATTATTATCTTACTAATATTATAAATGCAAAAGTTTAGATGTATGGATGTTTGTTAGAGTTTGTAGCCTAAACGACAGAACTGATTTCGATGAAATTTGGCATAGACGTAGAGCGTAGTTTGGAAGAACATATAGGCTATTCACTCTTGTTTTAATTTACACGCAGTCGGAGCCGCGGGCGAAAAGTTGTTTTAAATATAATAATTCATGTTTTGATTTAACATAACCTATTCATAACCGATAAATGTTCGAGGAAACATTGAATCAAATATTCGACTCCGTTCGGGCATTAAAAAAAACAAAAGCCAGTGTTATGTGTTCTTCCATACTACTAACTACGTCTATACCAAACTTCATGAGAATCCGGTCAGCCGTTTAGGCTATAAACTGTAACAAATTTCAATCCACTTAAAATTTCACATTTTTAATATTAGTATGATTAAATAATGTTTGTTTTCGATGAGAAATTGCAAGTTATAAAAAAAATGTTTGTTTATGTGCAGATTTAAAGCTAAAAAAGATGTCTTTTAGGATTGTAACATTGTTTTTGCACCATTCAAACATTGCTACCCAAAATAAACGATAGCAAAACATTCGTTGCTATATATTATATCGGAGCGAGCAATTTAAATCGGATATTCAAAACAAATGATATTGCTTTTACAGATTCATTTCGAAAGGATAGAGCACTGGAGCCCGCTTTAAATTTGAAAGTAAGAACATCTTGAGACGCTCCGGCATTCGAAAGCGTTTAGTTAAGGAAATATATTTATACTTATTTTGCAAAATAATCCTTTGGTATTCCAAATAAAATCGCATATATTACGACTTTAAGATTGCTTCTATACTTTCCTTTCCTTTGATACATTGTTGGACTCAATAATCAATCTTAATTCAATATTAACCGACCTAATAGAGGTTTTCATTCAAATTGACCGACGATGTTAAGACTTATGTTACTAAAAAAAAGATCCATGATAAGTAAGTATAGACTAAATGGATTATTCACAACCGTCACCCCGCTCTGTCCCCATGTGAGGACAGATGAAAATAAAACGTTTCATCCATCCCACCTTTGCGACAAGGGAACGTTTACAACTTATTTTATTTCATAACGGTTCCATCCTTATTGGTGATAGTGAGACTAAAAGGTGGGATGGATGAAACTTTTCATTTTAACCTTCGCCACGTGGGGACAGAGCGGGGTGACGGTTGAGAATAATCCGAGTACATAGTGTTAGTTGACCATAATCCATCTTAGTCGATTTTTTCTTACTAAGGATCTAATTGCAACATTCCATCGATAATTTGCTGCCTCATCTTATCCAAAGTTATTGAAAACCTTTAGGTCTATATTAAAGATTGTATATTGGGGCCAACCATATAGATTAGAGTAAAATACAGATATACCGAAGTCAGAAGTACGTTACGTCTTGTACGGTCTAATTTATTTTGGCACTCTACCAAGTTCTTTGATCGTTAACTGAACATAGCTTTTACGTTTAGGAAAGCGTCAATGCAGCTACTATTTGAAGAAATCAGGTAAAAGTTAAACATCACTATTCGTACTAGAAAGTCATCATTTCATCATGTACGCCCTAGTACGGGCGTTTTTCTAACGCTCGACGTTGGCGCTTTTTTAACGTGAACGCTTTTAAATTATTCTAGTTTTGTTAACCCAAGGTTCAAAATACCGTACTGAATATCGTGTTTTACGGCATATCATATAAAAATTACATGAAAATAAACTTTTACTATGTTAACGTGTTTTTATCGCGCATTAAAAAGGCGCTAGTATATGCCTTAACTGCGGCGCTCAGATATTTAATTCTTGTTTAATCATACTAAAGATTCACTAAGGGTGTCAGAATATTAAATGATTGTGTGGCAGTGATAGTTGTTACACTGTAATTATAGTAGACTAAACTTAAACTTAACCGAAATAGATTTTCTCCTTTGTAGTTGAGAATTCAGTTTAATACGAGAATAGTTATTCAAATGAAATAAGATTATGACGGGACAGAATATTAAATCTCTAAACGTCACGATTGACTTCTAAAAGGATATTTATGATGATACATTTTGTAAGGTAATAACGTCGTCGCCGTGACGAGGGTGTGACGCGGGCTTGGTTGTCTCGCTCACAATTATACTCAGATCTGTTATCTATTCCATCAAATAGACTACAAATATACATAATAAATAATTATCAAAACAGAAGGAAATAAAGATAAAAAGGTAACTAGACTTTGTTGTAATAAAAAAATACTACACAAAATAAATCGATTATAACTATACCACCAGCGACAAAGGTTTTTAAATCTTCTGAAAAGATTAGCTTATGTCAACTGTCGTAAACTTTTTTGTACGTTATACCACCGTGACGTCATCGCAGTAAAATGTTCACTTCTTGTATTATCTTCCATATCTCACGTTCTATGCCTTGTGTTTGTTAAGCTATTGACGTTAGTGAAGTTCTTGCTTATCTTAAACGATGAAATGCTTCAGGAAAATGTCTAGTCTAAAATAATTTCAGAAGCACGTGTAATCCTTTCATCCGCTCTGTTGCCACGTGAGTATTTTGTACGAAATCCCATCTTTGTGTGATTACGTAGGCGTAAGCTTGGAATAACGATCTATCAGAACGGGTATTTTGGACCACGATGTGTTTTTATAAAGTTTTAATTGAAATAATTGTACAGGGATGGACTAACGATTTTGCTGGACATCGATATAGTAAATATAAATGTTAAATACCAATATTACTTAGATACAAAAAAGTTCTTAAATAATCTATCAGAAGGACATCTTAGAATGTTCGTGTAAATTTCATTAAATTAGTAAAAAAGGGACGCCTGCTACTCAAATATTATCACGAATCATCGTCGCAAAGAATTTCTTTCCCAAATCAAAATTGTGAATGTAAAGCCATTTGACAGCTTCCGAAGAAATTTTCCTTTGATCAAAATTAATTATACGAAATTGGATAAAACATTATATTGCATACAAAATTATTTGCAAATGTTAACTTAATTTAACACATAACAAATATACGATAAAATCAGAATAAAAAAAATAACAATTCCATCATCAGTCGACATTTTTACCAATTTAAATAAGGTTAAAAAAATAAACATAAAAACGACTCGAATTCCAAAACTGCACGTGAACGTTGCTAATTCAATTCAGACAATATTTCTTTGTTTTGAATAAGAGTATACTATTAGTATATGTTAAGATATCCGCCTAAATCTAAATGCAAAGCTTCTTAACGCCCCGAGACGCCGACTGCTATTTGAGTTGTCCCTGTGATCAAGATTAATGAGATACTCTTGAATAAAACGTCTCCCTTCGCTGGAACATCTCTCCCTTCCCGAAACCATGCTGTGATTTTCAAATAGAAAAGAATTTACTTCAAATGCAGTCTTTTGTTCCAAATGTCTATAGTTAGAATGTATCGAAATATTGTGAAAGTAATGTGTTTGTATATTTATATTATTGAGCTGTAATTAAATCATAATAACTTACAACAAAAAGATTAAAATAAAAACCCCAATGTATGTTGAATGGTTAAATTTATAAAGACATTATTTTTGTACACAATTCCTGACAAACAATCTCTTCT